GAGAGGCAAAGGAAAAAATGAATGGGGTCATGGAGGGGAGGTGGTGGGATGGTGGGAGCCCCAGGCGGCTCATATGGAGTGGGGGGGGAGTCCCACCACTGTGCGCACCCCAGGGTAGGCACAGGGGGGCATCTGCCCCCGGGGTTTGTGTGTGGGGCTGGGGTGGGCTGCTGTTACCTCGTGGCTGTGCACGATGCCATGCGCCTTCCATGCACTGGCTGCCCAGTGGCGGAAGGCACATGGCATTGCATGCAGCTCCTGAGGCCCAGCGTGCAGCAGCAGCTGCTTCCATCCTGTACATAAATCAGGAGGGAGGGGAGGTGGCCCCCATGCCTACCTCGGGGTGCCCACTGGTGGGAGCCCTCATGCACCCCTGGAAGGGGCCAGGTCACCTCAGGAAGGGCCATGGCAAGGGGGGCGGGGTGCCCAGTAGCACCCATGGTGCGGCTTGGCTGGGCCTGCACTGCTCCACAAGGGGATGCTGCCTGGTCAAGGCAGGATGCCAGCCTCAGCAGGACTTTTGGCTCCAGACTCAGCCTCCCTGCGCACTGGGCACAATGTAAGCAGGCCGGAACTGCCCTCGCTGCAAGGGCCTGGCCATGGGAGCTCCCAAGAATATCTGCCCCAGCCTGCCCATGCCCTGGCCTTGCCCACCCGCAGCTCCCCTCAAGGGACTGAGGCAGGAGCTGTGTGTAGTCACTGCACTGTGGGCTCCCAGCCGGCTCAGCTCTGAGCACCACCTACAGCGCCTATTCCCAGAGCCCAGGCAGTCCCTGTTGTGGCCCAAGGGTCTCCACCCCACTTGCGCTGTGCGTGGCACGCACAGGCTGAGCCGGGAGTCCCCTGAGCCTGGTGTCCTGCCCCAGCCAGGCAGCCTTCCCCTGTAGGCTGGTGGCTGCCCCCCACCATGGCGGAGCTGCGCAGTCCAGGTTGGGCCGCACCTCTGGTGCCACTAAGTAGCCCCACTGTGGCCCAAGTCTGCAAAGCCCCAAGGCAGTTCCCGCTGCCTGCCCGACCCCGCTGTCCTCCAGCTGCCGCCTTCTCAAGGGCCTGGCTGGGCCAGCCTGCCCGCAGCACTTCCCCCATATCTGCTTCTTCCCACACCTCTCGCCATCTCTCTTCTCTCTCCTTCTCTCTCTCTTCCCTCTCCTTTCTCCTCTCCTCTCTCTCTCTTCTCTCTTCCTCCCCTTGTCTAACCCCCCCATCACAACATGCTTAACAAAAAAAATACACAAAACCAAAGGTAGCATGTGAAGTTTTATTTATTGTCACTAGTTTTAGAATTTTTAGAAAACCTAGTATTTACTGTAAAAAAAAATTTTAAAAAAAGCAACATTTATAATTGTTAACTAGTTTACAATATAATTGTAATATATGCACTGCATATATTAATATGCAGTGCATCCTGCCATGTACCTGTCCCAGTTTTTGTTTTTCTGGTGTGCCTGCACTCCAGCACCTTACAGGGTACATATTGCAGTTTTTTCAGTACTCCGACCAAAAATGTTGCCTACCCCTGTTTTACACTGTCTTTTTCGAAATTTCCAGTTGTTTTACATGGCTACCCTAACTGATAAAACAATGTTTTATGATTACTGAATGTTTTGATGTTGTTTTAATACACAGTCAGTTACCTATTTGTATGAAAAAATTACTGGTGGTACTTAAGGCTGTAACATTTTAAACTGGTGGTACTCAGTGTCAGAGTTTGGGAACCGCTAGCTACATCCTCATTTGAACTCCACTTCAGGTAGTTGAAGGCTGCTATTAAGTCCCCTCTCAGCCTTCTCTAGACTAAATAAGCCCAGTTCTCTCAGTCTTTCCTCATAAGTCATGTCTCCCAGCCCCGTCACCATTTTAGTTGCCCTCCGCTGGACTCTCTCCAATTTGTCCACATCCTTTCTGTAGCGGAGGGTCCAAAACTGAACACAGTACTCCAGATGTGGCCTCACCACTGCTGAATAGAGGAGAATAATCACTTCTCTGTACCTACTGGCAACACACCTACCAGTGCAGTCCAGTATGCTGTTAACCTTCTTGGCAACAAGGGCACACTGCTGGCTCATATTCAGCTTATTGTCCACTGCAGTGTTTCCCAACCAGTGTGCCATGGCACAAAAGTAGGCCATCAGAAATGAACAGGTGTGCCATGGAATTTTGCCATGGCAATGAGCTACAATAGGTATGAGGATGGGGAATGCTTTAACAGGTGTGTCGCGGAACATTTTTATTAATGTATGTGTGCCTTGGGCTGGAAAAAGTTGGGAAACACTGGTCCACTGTAACCACCAGGTCCTTTTCTGCAGGGCTAGCCAGCCCCCAGCCTGTACCAGTTCAAGGGATTGTTCTGTCCTAAGTACAGGTCTTTCTACTTATCCTTATTGAAGCTGAAAAGATAT